CACATGTTAACTGTTAAAGACAGCAGGCCACACATCTTTTCAGCCAAATGGTTTGCACATGTGTGACTTACAGGCTATTATCAAGTGAAAAAAAATGTGTACATGATACCCTGGAAAAAGATTCATCTCTAATATTTTGCGGCCAGGACAATGCTCATTTTACTTCCTTGAAATGATTACAGGAAAGAGTAGTGGAAAGTTTGTCCATCCAAAACTTGGAACAGTCGAGCATTCCTCATGAATCTTATTATACTTACAAATTAAACCAATTTCTTAAAACTGCAGCTGAACCTTTGTGAGAAGAGCTGCCTGCTATTCACAGTTTGTCCAAATGCACGAAGTGGGATACTGACACTTGCCTGAAACTCCAATCTACTCCTCTGATGGCATAAATACAGGGGCTCTGTGTGTGTGTCTGTGTGTGTATGTGTGTGCTATTACACAGGACTGCTTGTGTGTGTGTCTGCACACTAATACACAGGGGTGTGTGTGAGTGTGCATGTGTTCCATCCACACTATAGAACTATCCAGAAAAAAAAGTTTACAAGAAGGAGTCTTGAAAAAGATATATGGTAACATAATTGTGTCGATCGTGTAGATGGGAAATCACTTTGTGAAAATGGTTGCACAGAACTGTTTGAGCAGAACACCTTGCAAGGTCAAGTCCATCATTTGCACTTTTGTCCCACTCTCGATGGTGAGGTCATTTTGTTTTGCTGCAGTCTCCTCTGTCAGATAAATTATATTTTTAGTACTGAGGTCATTGATGTTCTCAGTGGCTCAGAAGAGATTTTATTGTGCAATGCAATATTGCAAAACCAGTGACTCCTGTTTTGATGGGTGGATTCCTCTTCTGCTGCTGCTGCAGCCACCTCCTCCCTCTGCAGCAGCATCCTTCACCACAGCACCATAACCTTAATCCTGGCCCTGCATGCAGACAGAGGAAAGTCCAGGAATGCACCTTGCATGGGCAGCTCCTGTCCCATCACATACGTTCCAGATCCCTGCTCAGGGCACTGCTGTCCTGAGACCAAATCAAACCTGAGAAGCACTGCAACTCCATGCCTCAGTTTGCAAAATCCAGAGCAGTGAGTCAAGCCTAAGGTTCCCTCTCAGCTGCAAGACAGCAAAGCCCTGCAGCTGCTTAATCAGCCCTGCCCAGCCAGGCAGCTCTGTGCCTGAGTCCTGAGCCCCTGATTGGGTGGGGCTGATTAAGCAGCTGCAGCACAGGTCAGAGGAAATCTAGGTCAGGCCCATCCCACATATGGGATGATTGCAGGATGGGCAACACACATGTAAGCCTCCCACCTACACAGAGGAACTAATAGGGTTGCTGGGCCACTGAGCAATGGGGGTGGGGGGTAAGCTCTGTGTTCTGGGTAGGGGCAGGGCCACAGGCCAAAGGGACAAGGCTGGGACAGCCTTCTCCCAGCACCACCCAGACGGCCTGGCATTCCTCCCTTGTCCCGGGGCTCAGAGCTGGCTAGAGAGCACATAGTGCTCCCACAGCAATTCTAAAAGGCCTCGGGCTTCAGCCAGTGTCACAGTAGTGTGGTAGTGGCAGCGCCGAACCCCAGACCCTTTAGAATTGCCAGGACCCTTCCCATCAGCAGGCCTGCTTCCACCCCTGTCCAAGTGTAGGATTGCGGGGCGGAGGTGGAGAGTGCTGCTGCAAGTCAGTGCCTGCAGGTCATGACTCCTGGAGCAAGGAAAGCACGCTGAGAAACTTAGTGCACCTCAGCAGGGTCCCCACAACCAGTTAGTGCCCACTAGAAAACCACCTCCCACTGATGTGCACTAATGCATCATGTAAACAAGCCTCTGTCAAATACAGAAGTTGCTGCTTGACAGATTTCTAACAAAAAGAGTCCTCTACCAATGCTGCAAACGTAGTGGCAGCTGGCTGGGGACGGGGACCATCTCTTTGTTCTGTTTGAACCCCAAGCACAATGGCCTTGGTCCTTGACTAATGTTCATAGTCACTAAAGTCATACAAATACAACAACAACAACTAACTTAAGCTTCACATCATTGTGTCTTAAGAGTAACCTTTCAGGAACTACTTCTGTGGAAAAAATAATTCAGCTTTCATGACATCTGGGCTCGGTATTTAGCCTCTCTGCTAAAGGTGCAGGTGTCGTTTAGGTTTTCCCATGAAGTCATGTTATTATTGACACTAGCAGGACAAAGTTTAGGCAACTGTGATAACAAGAAAGCAAAAGCCATTTCAAAATTCTGCTCACAGACTTTTATTTTATGACCCTACAGCAGCATGTTATTATCCTCCTTTTCAGTAATAATTATAGAGCATGTAAAATATTTTTTAAATGTTGTGCTCCCCACTTAGCCACTGTCTTACTCTCACTGTCACACACCATATTTCTTTGTCCTTTCAGAAAAGGTAATGGCTGTCTGAACCCAGAGGCCAGTGCATGCCTTGCGCTGGTGGTGTTTATGACCTTTCTGTACTATTAAGCAGCCTGAACTGTAATCAGCCCTGCCCAGCCAGGCAGCTCTGTGCCTGAGTCCTGAGCCCCTGATTGGGTGGGGCTGATTAAGCAGCTGCAGCACAGGTCAGAGGAAATCTAGGTCAGGCCCATCCCACATATGGGATGATTTATCCTCAGAACAGGTGCAGCACACTCAACGTAGGCGTCTTCACAACAACCCACCCATGTGCTTCAGCTCTGACCTTCTTGAATGTATATCATAGACACTTAAGAGTACTTTGGGACAAATGTGTTACAGCTATAGAACTGCTTTCGCATTTCTTGTAATTGCTTTATGTTTTTCACCTGCCCCTGTGACCTCCATCACTTGTCTTTTACCCCTTGGAAATTCTGGAAACTGCTGAGTTTCCTTTTGTTAAATAAGACAAAAGAAAAAAGTGAGTTTAGTTTCAAGCAGAAACCATAGGAAGACCACCTCCATTTTTAATGGAAAATACACTGACAGACACAGAAAATAATTAAGTTCATTCGCAGAAACAGCTTGTAAATATTGAGGATGTGGAGAGAGAACAGAACAGATACAGACATCTCTTTACCTGGTATGGGAGAAGAGAAGGTAAGAAGTTTATGTTACTTCCTTTTTTATGAGGAAGGTAAGTGTCAGGGCTGCCAGGATGTAGTTTTTGACCGGAATGCCCAGTTGAAAAGGGACCTTAGCAGCTCTGGTCACACTGCTCACTGAGGGTATGTCTACGCTACAGCGTTATTTCGAAATAAGCTATTTCGAAATAACATGTCTACACACAAAATGCATTTCGAAATAGCGTTTTTCTATTTTGAAATAGCACGTCCATACTGAATGGATGTTGAATCTCATTTTAGGCTGGTTGGAATCAGTTCTGGCATGGCATCAGGTCAGAAGTTGCCTTGTGGCCAGAGCGGCCAGCAGGGCACCCTGTGAAGGGCTGGAGGCTCCCTATTTCGAAATAAGTGTCTACACTGCGCTTATTTCGAACTAGAAATTTCAAAATTGGCACTATTCCTCGTGGAATGACATTTACCAACTTCGAAATAAGCCCTCCGCTATTTCGAATTAATTTTGAAATAACGCAATGGCTGTGTAGATGCTAGGAAAGTTATTTCAAAATAACTGCTGTTATTTTTAAATAACTTTGCTGTGTAGACATACCCTGAGCCACTAAAAATCTGATTGGTGGCATAATGGGGCTAAGGCAGGCTGTCTGCCCTGGATTCATGCCACTACCAGAATTGTTGCCCCTAAGTGCAGGTGCAGGCTATGATGCTAGGTATATTTTGCACCTGAGGCAAAATATTAATGATGCGCCCCCTCTCCTTAGGTAAACACATGTCACACTTTACTTTTGCAGCCTACTATTTTTACTTATTGCGTTTTTGCGCCCCTGATTGTGATGCACTCGCAGCTTCGCCCATGTTACTTCACTGCTCCAAACCCCTCTGGGCTCCAGCCTCAAGTTGCACTCTAACCCCCACGTCCCCAGCCCCAAACCAGAGCCAGTACCCACAGCTGGAGTCCTCACCCCGTCCCACACCTGGAGTCCCCTGCTGCAGCTTAGAGTCCTATTCTGCACTCCACACCCCTAGGCCCCAGCATGGAGCACGCTCCTGCACTCCAAAACCCCTATCTCTGACCCCACACCACAGTCCCCAGATGGAGCCCACATCCCCCCATAGTGAGCTCCTCAGCCCCAGCACTGAGCCCACTCCTGCACCCCAAACTCTTCAGTTCCAGCCTATCCCAGAGACTGCACTCCCACCATAGCCGTCACCCTCTCCTAATCTCCTGCCCCAACTTGTAGCCCCATCCTGCACTCCGAACCCGTGGGCCACAGGCTGGAGCCCTTGCCTACATCCTAAACCCCTCATTCCCAATCCCACCCCATAGCCCTCACCCCCCCCTCCCACACTCTAGCCTTCTTTTCTAGCCTGAAGTCCTCTTCCAAATCCTGAACCCCACATTTCTGGCCCCACTCTGGGGCCTGTGAAGTTCAATTTTTGAGCTCCTTGCATAGTCTTGAGTGCTCAAAATTACAAAACAGACCCTTTTAACTTTTAAGTCAGTGCTAAATTTAGCATATAGTTGCCCATCTCTGATTCCATGCTTGTACATTTTGTTCATGAAACAGCTCAGTGCTGGAATTTTGGGATCTTGCTACCTGATAAATATATAAAAACCACATGTGAATTGCTATTGGCTTCATCAACAAAATTCATTTCTCCATCTTAATTCATAATGAACAGGAAGGAAAGCTGGCATGCAATAACATATTAGTATTGAACATTTCTCTAATAGCGCAGAATGTTACTGAAAAACTAAACACATTTAAAAGAAAACAGATTTTGATTTTTTTTTTGGACAACTTGCTGAAAACATATACATGGCTGCTGACTACATTTGCAGTCAGCCTCAAGAAAAGAAAAGCCAAGAGCTGATGCATGTCAAACAACAGCCAAGACTTATGCTAAAATGTTGAAACACAAAGCATGCAAATAATTTTCATTGTCTAATACCTGCTGTGTTCCTTCATTGGGTGGTATTAGGATGACTTTATTTGTGCCAGCAACTTCTGACTAGAAACAAATATAGTTAAACATTTGTTAACTGAAACATGGCAGTTTGGATCACTTCTTAAGCAAAATGTAACAAATCTTTTCAATGGATGCTTTGCAGATTTTGGTGATTCCTTTAATTCTAATTACTTGACATTTTCTCTTGTTATTTTTGTTATTTTTTCTGCTAACAGTAACCCAGAAAATAATTTGGGCTTGTGTCCTTTCCCCCCCTCCCCTCCACATTTCTTTTTAGTGTGTAATGAAGACCTGGGTGTATTTTGTTTGTTTTTGGTTTGTACGTGAAGGTTGTTTTAAATTAGAAATTCAGGTATTGTCTGCTCTTGAAGATGCAATAGTGACTTGGAAACTAGTTTAAATTACATTACAAAAGTTAGAAAAATTGAATCATTAAGAAAAGAAGGTGGTTTATTACCCCAATCACAATGTTTTGAATTCTTTGGGCCAAATCTGGCATTTGTCCTGCCTGCTCAGGACCACTCTAAGCTGCACAGGTGGAAGCTCATTTCACCAGTCAGTGGATGATACCCCAGAGATGTCCAGCAATAAAAGACCTGTGGTACAGATGTGGCTGACCTGGATCATGTAAAGGCATGCGGGGCTTGGGCTGCAGGGCTATAAAACTGCAGTAAAGGGCTGGAGCTGCGAACTGGACTTTGTGACCTCCCAGATTGCAGGGTCTCAGAGCCCAGGCTCCCGCTCAAACTTAAATGTTTTATAGCCTGAGACCTGCGAGCCTAAGTCAGCTATCCCAGATAGCTGCCAGTCTTTTATTGATCAAACCTATGCAATTCAACTCCCAACCCCAGTACAAAGGAGAAATGTGGCTTGGCCAGAGAGCTGTTGTGTTCCTGTGATCGCTAGCTCCTGGAACAAAGAGCCAATCACAATTTTTACTCGTATGTAATCAATAGGCCAAGTCCTGAGAAGTGTTGAAGCATCTGCAACTCAATATTAGGAGCCCTTGGAGTTAGATCTAGTGTAACTAGCCATATATCTAGCAAAGGGAAAGCTTGCGGGCACTTTTCACTGTCTTGATTTTAAAACATTAAATGTTTGAAGGATAAACACATTTGTAAATAATCCAAGATTACCTTCCACCAAATTATAAACTGGAGGATCCTTGTGCTGAGCAAGGTATAAATGCCTGGATTAACACAGGCATACTAGATAGCTATCATGAAAGAAGTGAAAACATAACCTTATACTGATAAAAGGCCAGAGTCTGCCCTCAGTTGTATTTATTAAACCCCTTTGATTTGTGTGGCTGTTACAGAGCAGAATATAACATGCCATGAAAATGAGCACTTTGTATGAAAACACTTGCTGAACAATAGGCAGTAAGGACAAGGAGGAAGGAAAATTTCATCACACTCACCTGATTTTCTCTGCTGCTGCTGTTTTCATTCCCCATTGTGATGCAAGAGATCCAGTATCATACAATGATTAGGGTAAGCCAGATAGCTGGAAGAAAGGAAAATCTGTAAACTGCCCTTGTATAACCAAGTGCTCTGAAACATTGCACTGCCTCCTCATCCTTTTTTCTCCTAAAGTTAAGGCTCATAAAAATCTTCATCTTAAACACATCATGGAAAAATAGCTTTCTATGGGTTGTTTCTGTGAAGTTCCTCTCTGACCTCTTCTCCAACACTGTTTTTACTGAAGCTGGCAAACTCTCCTCTAAATACAATTTTGTTGCTATGTTCCTCAGTTACCACAAGCACTGTGCATACCATGTAAGGGGCAATGGATTTTCTTTGCCAAAGTTAGTTCTGATGGAACTCACAGCTCATTTGAAACTTTTTGGTTTTAAATGTATTCAAATCATTTAAAAAATTATTATACTAGCCTGAATTCATCCAGAGTTTGGAATTGTAATGTTAAATCTGTCCACCTACTACATTAGAAAAACTTTGTATTTTTCTTTCAAATAAAAGCATATACAGGCAGTCCCCGGGTTACGTACAAGATAGGGACTGTAGGTTTGTTCTTAAGTTGAATCTGTATGCTCTGCCCCGGGCTTCCTGGAATCAGCCTCTGATCAGTTTCAACAGGCTGAATCTGGATGCGAGTTCCCACTTACATACAGATTCAACTTAAGAACCCCAGGCGTCCCCAAGTAAGCTGCTGCTGAAACTGATCAGCAGCTGATTCCAGGAAGCCCAGGGCAGAGTAACTCTGCCTTGGGCTTCCTGTAGCCCG